GATATTTGATATATCGTTAACGATTCCTTGACAGTTTTCGTCTGCAAACCAGTTACTCGTTAAGTTATAACCAGAAAAGCTACAGGATTGCGTTACCCGTCTAACTTAACTGACGGGTAGGTTAACAAACTGATAAAGTTACTTAATACCTCTTCTGTATAGTTCAAACCCTTCTGCCATTTTGATTTTGGTCTTAAGTTTAATGTGTGTGCCATAAAGGTTAGTGACCTTTTTGCTCAATAGATTTTACACCCTCTTTGTTCGGAATTTTTTCTTAAGGGGGGAAATCATCGAATGACTGCTCTCGCCCGGGTGAGGCGGGAGGGAGTGTCAGACTCTTACTGACTAAAAATCACCTCGTTCCTTCTCTTGCACGTCGAGCCGGAGCCCCGGTTACCCGTTAGGTTCTCCGCGATACGCATACAGTTTAAGCTGAGAATCTCCTTCTTCCTTTACATAACATAACATCACGCCTTTTATTCCCGAAGGGGTAGGCAGAGGTGTACATTATGCCACTGTACAATGTAACACCCACTTTTCACTATTTATGTTATGAGTCCCATGTAATAGGGGGTGAGCCTATTGCCATATACCGGGCACAATTCCAGACTCCGTGCTACTACTGAGAATTTATAAAAATTCAGTAGTACTTTGCCCGACCCGGGAATCGAACCCGAGAACCCTTGCCCGACAGTCGTACTTGCGACCACTCGGCCAACGAAGCAGTCAATTCTTCCTTTATGAAATCGATTAAAACGAATGACTGTAATATTTGACAATTTAGGATCACGGCTCGAAGTGATTTCAGATTGCAAAACTTAAGATAAAGAAATCATTAAATATTTGATCTAAAACAAACCGATTAATATGTTTACACATAAAACTGAAGTGCTTTTACTTAATTCAATTAGTTTTGAAAAACCAACATTACAAATTCATTGCCAACCATGGAAAAATTAGCACCACCCTACTCTTCCCGCGGGTGTCGTATACCCGACTAAGGGACTACACATTAGACAGAGACCGGGCAGCAGCGCTCTCTGATAAACCTGAACGTTTTATACTGCGATCCAACCCGCCTGCCTGCGGAGATTATGACAAACCCCTCTTATGTAGGGGAGACTCATAGTGCAGCAGTGGACTGCCACGGACTGGCGATGAGGACTGATGAATCTTACTAATACAATAAATGCGAAACTGTGTAAGTTTGTGTGTATGTTTGTAACTCAACCATGTCAAAACGGCTGCAGGGATCGAGATAAAATGTGAAACAGAGGTAGATTATGATCTGCAACAACACATAAGCTACTTTGTCCCACTGGAACGCTGGCGAAGCTTCTAATACTCAATATTTCTTACGCCAACTGAAAACTAATTCATCATAACATGTACTTTAAAAGAATATTAATGAAAAATCCTTCGATCTACGACTTAAACATGATTACAAATGATAATTATATAAAAAAAAATTACGTTTATAAAGAAAAACTAACAGATACTACATTGAAACAATGGCACAATGGTTCACACGTAGAAAAAAAAATTAATTAGACCGCAAATGATGTTTCCTTGAATAAACGTTACAGAAAAAAATGTTCTAACATCCGGTTTGATCGAGTTCATGTAACTAGAGAAATACATAGATAAAAAATATTATTTATAAACATAAATATATGTATATAACTTCTCTCTTGTCTCCCATAGAGGTAGGCAAAGACTATGGAACGCCAATTGGGATGATGACAGGGTATGAAAATTTAAAATATAATTAGTCCGTAAGTTAGGTAATGAAAAAATATTATAAATGTTTTTTTTTTATTTTGTCGTATAATTAAACAATACTTAGATAAAACGAATCAAAGTTTAGGAGTGGGGGCTAAAACGTCATTTCTACGTATAAAATGTACATAGAAGTGACGTCAGGCGACATTTCAAATCAATATAATATCGTCGAAAGTATTCGTTTCTGTAAGAAAATAAAAAATACGTATCTAATGATTTAAAATAATCTACCAGGCAGACATTAAAATAAAAATTAGGCATCCACCCTATTGCTACGATTCCTACATACCTCTTTCGCTTCATCAACAGTCATCAATCTTTTCATGCATGCTCGTCGGTTAAAGGTACTTTTAATTTGGCCCTTCTTTATATATCGCCACAATCTGGTCACTATATGCCCGTCCAGGGCACCCTCTACCGACGACCCCATTCATATCCGCTCTGTATACTTCTTTCGTTACTCTACTTTCATCCATTCTTTCTACATGTCCAAACCAGCGTAACATTCCCATTTCAATCCTTGTCACTACATCATCTTTCAATTTACACCTCTCTCTAATAACACTATTTTTCACTCGATCACTCATCGTTAACAATTGGTGACAGTCCTCCTCTACACATGGACATCACAGTTTAGAAGTTAAGGTTCATAATTATCAGATAGACTTGAAGCTACGGATAACTTAGCCGGTTACCGTGGCTCCATCTCTATGCAGGAACGGGGTGGTATTTAGTCAGTAAGAGTCTGACACTCCCTCTCGCCTCCCCCAAGGCAGGAGAAGTCATTCGATGATTTCTCTCCTCAAACAAAGGTTTTATCAGAGAGCGCTGCTGCCCAGTCTCTGTCTAATGTGTAGTCCCTTAGTCGGGTACAAAACACCCGCGGGAAGAGTAGCGGTGGTGTATTTTACACTGCAAAATTATTATCTATTCACCTAACGAGCTGCATAGTAAATATTGAACTGTCAATTCGACCAATAATGATACAAACCTATGATTAACGTAGTGTCTATGTTAATTCAAAGTATATATAAATAATAAATATAATTATACAATTAAAATTTATATATTTAACAAGACAAGCTATCGTGTATTTTAAATAACTTTGTAACATAAGTACCGAGTTGACTAATAACTTATATTTCGATGTTAAATTGACATCGTTTAACATAATTATGAAAATATCTTCTTAAATGTTAACAAGATAGTTAAAATAATTAACTAACTTGTTTACAAGTTAGTGGCTTTTGAACTCGACTTCTCTTTAATCGACAATTAAAGAAGGAGGTTGTTTCTTTGATCTATATCTATTGGCAATTGAGTAAATTAAACTTGCCAACTAGTCAAACTCGATACTTTTTTCGAACTGTAAAAAACGACAGTTTTCGCTATTTATATTATGAATACGCCGAGTAGTCGCGGGGCAAGGGGTCTAGGGTTTGATTCCCGAGTCGGGTAAAGTAACTACTACTGGGTTTTTTTTGTAATTCTCAGTAGTAGCACGGAGTCTGGGTTGTGTTCGGTATATGGCAACAGACTCACCCCCTATTACATGGAACTCATAACATAATAGTAAAAAGTGGGTGTTACATTGTACAGAGGCATTAAGTGTCGTAATGTGCACCTCTGCCTACACCTTCGGGATAAAAGGCGTGATGTTATGTTGTTGTCATTATAACCGATTAATTACATTGCTAACTAGTTAAAAGTTAAATCGTTTAGTTTAAAATTTCAACATTTAATAGCTAATCGTAAAATTACGACAAAGTAAGTAATGACACAGGTTTGATGCTCGTTTCGTTCATAAATGTCACTAGTGTTAAAAGGAATTTAGAACTTTAGTGTAGGTTAAGCAATGCTTGCCAAGGTCCGTTTAAGGATGGGTTAGCATTATAAACACAATCATTTCTTTGGACATCTTAAATTTTTCTAATTTAATCGTGTGATGGCGATAGAGTAGAATACATTTGTCACCACCTCTACTCTTCCCGTGGGTGTCGTATACCCGACTAGGGGACTACACATTAGACAGAGACCGTGCAGCAGCGCTCTCTGATAAACCTGAACCTTTTATACTGCGATCTCCAACCCGCCTGCCTGCGGAGATTATGACAAACCCCTCTTATGTAGAGGAGGCTCATAGTGCAGCAGTGGACTGCCACGGACAGATGATGATCATAATATGTTTCTTTATAATAATTTGAAAAACCGAAACTAAATATTACAACATAACATAGAGGTGCACATTATGCCACTGTACAATGTAACACCCACTTTTCACTATTTATGTTACGAGTCTCATGTAATAGGGGGTGAGTCTATTGCCATATGCCGGGCACAATTCCAGACTCCGTGCTACTACTGAGATTTTTTTTAACAAACTAAATATTACAAAACTACAAAATTAGGTATGAAAATGTCAAACTGATATTGCTAAAAAATAAATGTTATATCTAATCATCGAACTCGCATTTTGTATTATTAATAATAAAAATTTTAATCGTTTAATAATATTTGAATAAGAAAATTTTAATAGATTTTTAGTAAAAGGTCACTTGTAGAATCTACCGATAGTTTTTTTCTTTTTTAATGACATTTTTATTCTAACTTGTTCTTTCTCTTTTTGCATTTTCTGTCTACAGAAAATATATTTATAATTAAAAATTTTATATTATTACTAAATACTAACACATTTCTAATACTTTTTTAAAAAAAATCTCATTGGTAGCACGGATTCTGGAATTGTGCCCGGTATATGGCAATAGACTCACCCCATATTACATGGGACTCATAACATAAATAGTGAGAAGTGGGTGTTACATTGTATAGTGGCATAATGTACACCTTGGCCTACCCCTTCGGGGATAAAAGGCGTGATGTTATGTTATTTCGTATACTGTAAACTCAGTATGATAAAATCTTGGCTTGACATTTAATAATGTAATATACATATACAATAAACCTACCGATTTAGATTGTAATAAATAATTTCTCCTGCGATTTTATTCCCATCGATTTATATTACGTTACAGTCTTCTCAAGGAGCCTCTCTGCATTCATGCTAAATATGATTAAAATCGGTTCAGTAGTTTAGGTATTAAACACAAAATAATAGGTAATATTTATACTTCACATAATGTAGTTAATACTTCTGGCTAAAAACTGACATTATTTTAAATCATGGACCAAATAAAAATCTACTTTTCATCTTGTTACAGAAACAATACTGCAACACTAGAACTGAGATCTGCTGCAGAATCGAAACCTCAGGCGCTGGCATCCAAGGATCCCTTGGAGTAGGATCCGGATCTTTCCAGGCTAGCCAAGGCTCCGGAGTCTTCCAGGGCTCAAGCCAAGGCCAATCCAGCTTCGGAGCTGGCTTCAACGCGAACAGAGGCAGTGGATTCGGCACCCAATTCTCATCAGGAGCTGGTTACAACAGCAACAAATTCGGAGCTTCTGGAGCTGGTTTCGGATCTGGCTTCAAATCGACCAGCCAGTCTAACTTCGTCGAAACCGATTCCTTCTCTGCTGGTTCAGAAAACAACGGTATCTACCGTCCAGGTGCTATTGGCTCCGGACTTAAACCTGGCGTGCCATACTTGCCTCCTGTAGACACTTCGACTAGCGGATCCAACGTGGTTTCCACCGCTTACTCACCAGCTGTTATCACCACTCCTCGTCCCTTCACCACTCCTCGCCCTGTCACCACTCCCAGGCCTTACTCGACTCCTAAACCTTATGTGCCTTCGACCAAGGCTCCTGAATACCTGCCTCCCATTGATGGCATCACCGGCGCTGACACTTTCCCACAGCCAACTTACATTGATGGACAGCTGATCTTAGACGAGAACCTCCCAAGACCTGTTGCACCTGTTATTATTGGTAAGTATTTCTGGTTGTTAACGATTGGAGAGCATAGAGCAACATTTAAATAAAAAGATGGCTTGATAACAGTTAAACTCTCTTATTGTCTTCACGATGAACTCACCTATTTAGTTCCTGAAAGAGTAGCGGTAGATAGAAACCTTTAATCAGTTTTGATCACGTATACAAATTTTAAATTACGACCCAAGGTTCTCTAGTAGCTAGTAGTCACTCGACTAATAAGTTTTATACTAGGATACCAAGTAGACCAGTAGACCAGTAGACCAGTAAACCAGTAGACTAGTATATCAAGATGACCAGTAGACCAGTAAACCAGTAGACTAGTATATCAAGATGACCAGTAGACCAGTAAACCAGTAGACCAGTAGACCAAGGAGACCAGTAGACCAAACTATAAAACTTTACTCTTACCCCAGGTGACCTGCCCGCTGGTTGCGCCGCTGCCCTGAAGTGCACACCCATCGAATACTGTACCGCTGAGGGAGTCATCTCCAACACCACTGTTGTGCTGACCAGAGACCAGGAAGCTTACAGAGTACCTTTAACTGTAAGTGAAATGACGTCACATGCCATCTCCTATCCTTGCAGAGTTAAGCGGAGAGGAGACTTATAGCATCAATCAAGTTCTGTTAAATATGTTATGAGTCCCATAACAAAAGAGACTTCCCAGTCTTCTCTTCATCATTAAAGTTATTCTATAAAGAACAGCGAAAGAAGAATGTTTAAAAAGACCTAAAAATTGAACCTAAGAAATCATGCTCGACAGACACTGTCTCCGTTATACAGAAACCACTGATTAAAATAACATTATAAGATTTGTATTTCTTACTGAGAATTTTGAGTTACGAAATATGTTTGGAACTCATTTAAAAAAAAGACGTTAATTTCATTCACAATCATCAGCCAATCCAGCATCAAAAAGTACTATTAAATCCCCCATCACAATTCTCATCTTCCTCTCCCCAACAGGACTGCAAAGACATTTCATCTGGTCGCGTTGGCAAGTGCTGCCGTGATCCCTTCTACACTGACCCATGGCCAGTCAACCAAATCGGACAATGGGTGCCCGGAGTCTTCGGTGGAAACGATGGACAATACGTACCAGACAACCGTGGCAGTCCAAACAATCAACCAGGAGTGTCTGTCAGGCCACCAGTTACAGGATCCGTTTATTTGAACAACTTTAGGTAAGGTTTTTTTTAAAGAAATTTGCCGATTTTAGAGGTTTTTAAAGACCTTAGGCATCTTTTTGGACAACAATAATAATTATCGCGAAACATGCTTAGTTATTTGGAACATATAGCTTAAACACGTCAACTGATCCAAAAATCCTCAACTACTTTCAAGTCATTCATGAATTAGAGTATGACTTTTTTTATGGGACAATCATGCCACAACCTCCCAAAACCGCTGCCACTCGTGTGCACCAGGATCTACAGTCGATACAACCATGAAAACACCGGAACACTGAAGTCCCGGTATGACTTGAAATTAGTCGAGCTTTACTCGATTAGTTTACGTGAGTAAACTGCGTATTTTAATTGACCTTAAAGGTATTTTGAAGTATTTTTACCCGACTGAAGGAAGGGTAATGTTTAATGCTCATTTTAATATAAGCTTAATTTTAGGTAGTAGGTACTTGTTTAGATAAACAGACAACGAAAAATGCTAGATAATACTAATGCCAATAGATCCAGCTTTTCTTGTGAATAACAATTTGATTTGTAGTATTTTTGTCCTTATTGAAGCAAAGGCCTAACGATTGGTTATAGCGTTATCTGCAGCAGGTTCGATTCCTGCGTAAAACATCTGAGATACAATGTTTTTTATAACTAAAAGAGAAAATGGACCAGTTATGAGTCTGGTTATTTTTGAAAACATCCAAGTAAGTACTCAAAAAACACTCTAAAAGGTACAAAAATTACATCCATGACTATATCATCAAAATCGGTTCAGCGTTTCATGTGATAGACAGACACATACATACATACCCATAATATACTTACCGGGCCCAATATACATTTATATTTCTCCAAAAAAATAACACAGAATTACACTTTTGACATTATAGCCGACGCACTCGTGCTCGTGGATCTCAATAGTGAGATCTTGCTGCGCGTGCGCACCCAAACACAACACAGGAGAGATCATTTTAATACTCGACAGAGGGCAACACCTCCATGGCTATTTTCTTAGTATTATTTTTCTATATTTTTTATTACACTATTATTAATTATAACTGCTTTTGTAAGATAAACTAAAAAAAAAATGTCGTCGAATTTATTTTTCTTTTTGTAATTTTTGTAATATTCTTTTTTTATTGTAAATGTAATTTTAATGTAATTTTAGTTTAATAAATCTTAATACTCATTTTAAAGTACCTACAATGTTTTATTCACGTACACTGCACATTAACTGGACATTAATCTCAAAGACATTGAATGTTTACTTCAACCATTCCTCAGTTACAATTTTGTTTCGAAAACAATTGGGTAGTTTCCAGGACATCAAAATTAAAAATCGAATTAGCCCGTCAGTTAGACAATGAAAAAATATTAGACACGTATTTTTTTATTTTCTCGTATTAAGTTGCAATACTTAGATAAAATGGCGCTAAGTTTAGGAGTGGGATATCGTTACGTCATAACGTGCTACAAAATCTGGCACGCTGTGACGTCACACGATATTTCAAATTAATATTATCGTCGAAAGTATTTAATTTTGTGAGAAAAGAAAAAATACGTGTCTAAAGTTTTAAATTAATGTACCAGACGGACGTTCAAATAAAATTTTGGAAACTACCCTATTGCTAAGGATTGGGTTAAATCATCATTCAATGGGTCTGACTATAGCAATTAGGTTAAGTTTGTAACTAACTGAAGCTAGAATATTAATATGTATGGATATGACATTTGCTTTTAATCATATTGAAGGAACTACGATTAGAAACTCCATGTTTTCATTGTTATCATCACTATAATCATGATCAGTAAGTTAGGGTACCTAGAAAAACATAAGAGCAGTACTCGAAACCATTTAAGCGTTTGTCGACTGGAAGGAAAAATCAATGTTTGGGCTTAGTGTCAATTTTACATAACATAACATGAGGCCTGTTATCACTAAAGGGATAGGCAAAGGTGCACGTTATGGCACTTAATACCACTGTGCGATGTAACACCCACTTTTCACTATATATGTTATGAATCACATGTATTACTATACCAGGCCCGATTCCAGGCTCCGTGCTACTACTGAGATTTGTTTTAAAACCCAGTAATACTTTGCCCAACCAGGGAATCAAACCCGAAACCTCTTGCCGGGCAGTCGCACTTGCGAACATACGGCCAACGAGGCATTCCCAATTAATGTCAATTTTGACATATAATATTACAGTGTCAATTCGATGTTTTAAGTTTTCATTTGATTGACATTTGTTTCATACATTGATCCTCTGATCTCATCTCCCTGTCTCTCTTACTTTATCTATCTATCTCTGTCCTTTGAATGGCAAAATTCCATCCTAAAGATACCTCAAAATGCTTAGTCTCTTAATCGAATACATTTTATCTTCTCAGCCAAGAATGTCTATCGACTCGCAAACTATCCCCTTTTAGGGCAAAAAGGCCTATTATATACAAATAAGGAATTACCATTCAACACTGAATTAGCACTTAAATAAAATACCTCATGAGTAACTGCAGTACTCAAAGATGATTACTTAAACTATTCCTCAGTAACGAAAACAATTGCTAAGGAGGTTAAATGACAAATAAATGTCTCTGAGTACAGTACGGTTATAGACGATTATAACTTAGATTAAGATGTAAAACTACGAGCAACTGCTGACTTTTGGAGAACGATGATGAAGAATTGAAGATACCACTGCCAACTGGAGTCCTACAGGCTGTCCTTTACTCATCACATCTCATTCTCATGACTATCTATACAAAAGTAATGATAACTGTCCAATGGACACACGTATTTATCTGCCGTCAATACATGATAATGATGCCAATAAATCATTAAATACCATACATACAAACCTCTTTTATTACACCCAAACACGACATACAAATAAAACCATTACAACATCAAAGACTTTTTCATTCACCCTTCACCTTTTACACAAAAACCAACAGTATTGTACACAACATAAGAAATAGAATGACATAACACTAAACCGCATGTCAATGGCGATATAAATGACGCAAATCTCGCCCTTATTCTTAGTGAATAAAGGCGGAATCGGTGTCAAGATGTTGCTATAGACACGGTGGCCAAATACCGCAACGTTTCAATCATTGATACTTAAAATCACAATACACTAATCAGATCTCATAAAAACTCACAAACGAACAAATTTTGTTCGACATGAAACGAATAACCTTGAAATGGGCAAAAAATGGCTTCCCTAAGTACCACTTGAGGATGAAAACCACAAAAAATCACCAAAAAACCCTGACATCAATATATGTACTTAAGATACAAACCGAACCGATTATGATTATGAAGGCAGATAACGCAATCTTTAATCCAAACATTTCATTAATGTAACAAATTATGTCTTAATTAGTATACTCTAATCTCGTCCCCACTTATCCCCACTTATACTGATCCAAAATATTCTTTCCAGAACGACACCCAAGCCAACTCCACCAGTCGGACCCAACCAGGTCACCCAAGGTTTCCCCGCAACCACCGTGACACCCGGCTCTTTCGTCCAGAAGACACAGTTCGGACAGGGTTCCTACTCCCAAGGAGGTCAAGGACAAGTCGTTATCCAAGGTCAGGGGAAATATGGAGTAGCTGGACAAGGTAGCCAAGGTATGTATTGGTTTTTGAAGAGCTCTTAATGAAGACACTTATGTTGTCAGGCATTTGAAGATTAGATGATGATGTGTTTGACATTCTTTATTTATTTGCTTTTTTTTTCATGCAATATCTTGTGTTAGTATGTGTAACTGTTTGACGAGGAACTGGACTTGGTTCGAACTATATTAGAGGCTAATATTCATCTTAGTTTTTGTTTGTCAACATTGCGATTTTTTTGAAAAATCTCAACAGGAGCATTGAGTCTAAAGTTGTGGCAATTGGCTCCCCCCCTATTACATGGGACTCATAACGTAACTGGTGAAGAGTAGGTGTTACATTGTATATGTGCACTTTTGTCTATCCCTTGAAGGCTGAAAGATCGTTATAAAAGAAATTGTTTACCAAAGTTATAGAGGTACAATCTATCTATCTCTCTCTTTATCTATGTCTTTTATTGAGCTGTCTAATAAAATAAATCTTGAGCCACATAAGTTAACGGGTTACCGTGGTTCCGACTCTATTCAGGTGTAGGAACGGGGTGGTTTATAATCAGTAAGATTCTGCCACAGGGAGTGTCAAAATCACCCAATGCGGGAAGAAATATTGAATGATTTTTGCCCCTCAAAAAAATCTTTTGCAATAGAAGATGCTAACATTGCCAAACATCGAACTCTATTAGTTATTAGTAAGAATTTCGAAATTAAATCTCTTGCAACGCCTCGTCCAATGAATGGGACAATCTTCAATATGAAACTTCACTAGCATACCGAACCATGTCGCAATTTGACTTTCAAAACACACTTGATAAATGATCTAATTTCAAAATAAATCGTTTTGAACTTTGACATTTTTGCGATACCTTTCATGGCGTGGTATAGACAGAGTCGTATTATCTTTAACGCAAACTTGTCAAGGGTCTAGGGCGCCAGATAACAGAGGGACGCCGCGAGATGCGCGTGGCCAACAGACTATAGAGCGACGAAGGCGCCAAAAAGAAGTTAGGGGCGCCTGCAATGGCGCTCTCTAGTTTGATTCGCCTCTGAATAAGGGACGGGCCTATAGCCATATCGGATCCGAATTCCTAACTTCATACTAGCACCATTGATTACCCAAAATGGAAACACCCACTTTTACTTAAATACCATCCTTCAATTTAAATAATTTATTTGAGGACTAAAGTTTTTGTGCTCACCAGTCACATATGGCTTCATACGAAGTAGCATCGTTTTGTATGAGCTTCCCGCAGATTCAAAGGTCAATTTATACTGGTTCTGAATGGCTTGGTGGGTAACCGTGTGTACCAATGTACTCTGAGGTCTTATTTGAAAACAATCGCAAGGATGGCTATCAAAAATTTATTGTCCAATGTTTTTTTATCTTATCTATCATCATATCAACCGCAAAACGTCCATTGCTTAACATAGGCCTCCCCTAAAGACTTAATGGTTTAGCACTAGGAAATTTTTCAGAGGACAAACAAGACCATATCTAAGCTAGGTGTTTTTTCAAGCTCATTGTGACCTGGGTCATGAACATGTATCCATCAGTACCTACAAATAGAATGACAAATCTGCACTTATTTTTTAGCGTGAAATGAAGTCTTTTCTTCCGTTCTTTCTATTTTTGTTTAACAGCCAAAATCTATCTGTTAGACCACGGATAATTCTATTTGGTTATTTCTAAGTGCCTAGTTTCATCTTCATCATCAGCCTATAAGTGCCCACTTCTGAGTAAAGGCTTCTTATCACACGGAGAAGATAGTATCTAATAACTAGTTTGAGACCACATAAAGCTGTTAAAGGCTTAGCGTGGCCTATAATTACATATCTCCCATGGCATTTAACGTGTTAATAAACGATTTGATTTTAAACAGGTGCTGGTGCTGGTGGCCAGTTCGCTCAAGGGTCATCCTACTCCCAGACCACATCTGGCTTCGGTCAAAGTCAAACTGGTGGCAGTGGACAGGCTGTAGTCCAAGGTCAAGGATCCTACCTCCAGGGTGGAGCTGGACAAATTGAGGTCGTTGGACAGGTGAGAAGGACTTAATGATTTTTTTAGATTTATTTCTAGGTAATAAATTTTTTTAGCAAATCAAATTTGAATTAAAATTAATCGTATTCAAGTTGAAACTATTTAATTTTTATTCTCTAGTATTGAAGAAAAACATAATAAGCATCATATTCCCTTCTCTTTCAAACAGGGTTCCCAAGTACAACAAGGTCTTGGTTTCGGTGTCTCCCAAGGAGGTGGCCAAGTGATCCGTCAAGGTCAAGGAGTAACTGTCTCCCGCGGAGAAGGTGTTGGTGTCTCTCAAGGATTCGGAACTGGAATCCGTCAGGGTTCAGGATCTGCTGTCGTTCAAGGAGGAGGATACGGAATTAGACAGGGACAAGGACAAGTTGTATCCCAAGGACAAGGCGTAGGAGTCATTCAAGGTCAGGGCCAGGCAGTTAGACAGGGTGGAGGCCAGGGTGTCATTCAGGGAGGAGGTCAAATCGTCTCCCAAGGACAAGGATTCGCCGTTTCTCAAGGTCAAGGACAGGGAGTGTCCCAGGGTGTAGGCATCGGTGTCATCCAAGGACAGGGTGTGGGTGTTAGCCGTGGACAAGGATTCGCCGTTACCGGAGGTCAAGGACAATACACTACCCAAGGACAAGGACAATCCGTTAGCCAAGGAGTTGGATTCGGAGTGTCCCAAGGACAGAGTACGGCTATCAGACAGGGACAAGGTTTCGGTGTGTCACAAGGACAAGGATTCGGAATCTCCCAAGGAGGTGGAGTAGGAGTATCTCAAGGAAACGGCTACAGGGTATCCCAGGGTGGTGGCTATGGAATCAGCCAAGGTATCGGCTTCGGAGTACAACAGGGATCCGGCCAGGCTATCCTACAGGGTCAAGGACAGAAGTTGATCCAAGGTGGAGGATACTCTATCTCAAACGGAGGTGGATACGGAGTTGAGAATGAGTTTGCTGAGTCTGTACAGAGGGTCTACCTGCCCAGATACACCGGATCTGGAGATTGTGGACTACTGAACGTGAGTAACTGCTTTTTTGTATACTGTACTTCTGGATTTTAGATTTTTAACTGACTTTAAACAAATGAGGTTCTCAGATGGACCTGTATGTATGTATGTCTATTTGTGCGCAATTATCTCACGATTGGCTGAACCGATTTTCATGCAATTTTCAGAAAAGTCTTTGTTTAACAAGGAGAAGGTTTTAGTATATTAACAAACCGACCTTAAAAAAGAGGGGGTTGAGTTTTTCAAACATAGTCTCTAAACGAATTTTTACCTGTACTTGTAGAAATAATATAGGTAATTGTGACATATTTCAATAGATAATGAAACTGGCTGTTAACACTTTACTATTTAAGTCAAGGGTCTTGGATCGATTCTCGGGTTAAACAAAACACGATAGAAAATTCTTCATCATGAATTGATAAGTAATTACAAAAAGTCTGAATTATTCCCATCATCGTCATCATCAATTTGCAGCAACGGCCTCTTCTCACACAGAGAAGATGCACTGCTGAAGGCGGATTGAAATTCAATAAAAAATATTATTTACAAAACTGCAATATTCAAAAATAAATAAAACAGAAGTAACATAATAATATTAATGTAATATGCAATTTAATAACAATAAATCAACAATAAATTAGTTATTTCGTAAATTAAATGCCATTGGTTTATAATTCAGACATTTTTATTATTATAATTTATGAGTACAACTTTATTTCGATTCAATAATATCATTCGGACTAATAACTCTTAAACAGCTGGACAGATTTTGATGAAATTTATTGTATTAGAAATTATAAGTCCAGGTTTCCTCACGATGTTCTCCTTCACCGTTTGTCAGTGGTGTCTGAATAATCTTAGAATGTACATATAACTCGGAGAAAGTACATTGATATAGTTATCGATCCAGCGTCCCCATACATGAGAAACGGGCATCTTAAACCTCCATGCACCCACACGATTGTCATCCCAAAAATATACTATAGTTCGTTACAAACTATCATAAATCAATGGAATTTCTCACGCCTCGTTGGCCTAATTGTCGCAAGCGCGACTGCAAGGGGTCTCGGGTTCAATTCCCGGGTCGGGCAAAGTATTACTGGGTTTTTTAAACCAAAGTCAAAGTCAAATCATAATTATTTGGTACTTTTGAAACATCAACAAACACAAAATAAACATTAGTCTGTCAGTCTGTCCGTCAGGCGTCAGTGAAGCTAGGTGCTCGTTATAAAATATTCCTATATTCGAATGGAGAAGAACGAGCAAGAAACTCAATTCGTTACTCTTTTAAAAAAAAAACTCAGTAGTAGCACGGAGTCTGTAATTGTGCCCGGTATATGACAATAGACTCACCCCTTTCATGGGACTCATAACATAAATAGTAAAAAGTGAGTGTTACACTTACATTGTACCTACAGAGGCATTAAGTACCTTAATTTGCACCTCTGCCTACTCCTTCAGGGATAAAAGGTGTGATGTTATGTTATGTGTAAACGTTCTCACGTTAATCGTCAAACGCTTGCTCAATTCAAAGTGACATTTTAGTTAAATTCCTATAATTAACAAAGTTACGAAATCATTTAGTTACTGTTGGTGTGTACATACTACATGTAGAGGTATATATATTTCTAAATGTCACTTATTTGTTACTATAACTGCTTACTACATAGTCAAGTTACCCGGTAACCGGTTAAGTAACATAACCTTGTTATTTGTAGGGCTTGAGTTACCGTTATTGCATACATACATTCATACATCAAGAGCCTATTAATAGCTATAGTAATGCCTCTTCTCACGCGGAAAAAGTTTCGGCATTAATAACCACACTTGCTCTTCGGGGGATGGTTAATTAAAAATTAAAAAATTGCGTTTAAAAAAACCGACTTCAAAGACAAATGAAAAGTAAAAACTAAAAAGGAAAAAATAACTATTATTGGTCATACGTACTTATAGCTTACACACCCACTGATAGGTGAGAAGTCGGTGCCACAAGTTTTAAACATGGAGTCGCATATAATTAAAAAATATATATTCTTCCTAAATTGACTAAAAATCGCGGGTTACTCACGTGAATATACTAAGAAAAGCTCTACTAGTTTCGAACCAGTATATATTATATGGTATGTATATGTCTATTTATAAAATATTGTATTAATATATTTATTCTATAGGTATTTATGTGTGTGGTATACATATTACATAACTTTTTTTTTTTGATTGTGTTCTGGCTTCGCAAACACTTCATTTCTCTGCACTTCCCTATGGTTGACTGTAAGAGAATGCCTTAAGGCATTAAGTCCGCCATTCACTGTATTTTGTGAAGAAGAAATAAATAAATAAATAAACCACAGAGGGGTTCTTCCTCATGAGCAGCGTGCGCGGTCGCGGCGACGTCAGTTCGAAACTAGTAGAGCTTTTCTCAGTATATTCACGCGATTTTTAGTCAATTTAGTATATCTCACAATAGTTATTATAAAAACATATATTCTTCCTCTTAAATTAATATAAAACCACATCAAAATCAGTTGCGCAGTTTCTAATATCTACGCAAACATACATACATACATATATACAGGGACAGACAGCATACAGCGACTTTATTTTATACCTACTATGTAGTAAAGTGATGAAGCAAGGACCCCTTTCGTAATCCTTATTCCATTCAAGTATATATAAATATAAAATATAAGAAATTTTATATAAAACTTATATAATATATTATTTACAATGTCACTGAGGTCAAATAATAACCTCTTGGCCTCTACCTAGATGCATATATGTAGGCGATTATATATAACATAGTATATGTTTAATTTAGAAGGGGTAGGCAGAAAGAGTACTTCGAAGATGTATTTACTCCAACTTATTAAGTATCGTTATGTTGTAATTAGGTCAACTCTTTACACTACACGAGAATCGAACCTTAGGTCACGGTAGTCGCGCTAGTGATAAGCCAACTAAATTCTAGTGCATTTATGTATTGCTTGTAATTCAGTTTCATTGTGTTGATAGGTAGTTATTTATTAATAACACTACTCAAACCGAGAATCGAACCCGAGACTTTTTACTCGATAGTCTCACTCACGACCAACCCGTGACCACTTACTTGCTTGCAGCTCCGTTGACCACTGCAGTCAACGGAGCACACCATCGTTCAGGTCCCAACCAAAAAAGCCGTTAACCTTTTCTATCTTCACCACCAGCCGCAAAAACCCTACGGAAACCGCAAGGATCTGGAGGTGGACTTCGCCGAGATCCCCTGGCAAGCGATGGTGCTGCTGCAGACTAACAGGAGCCTTCTGTGTGGAGGAGTCATCACCAGACCCGATGTTGTCATCACTTCTGCTAGCTGCGTTGAAGGGTAAGCATTACTGAACTGCTGATAAATGGAACCTGGGCTTATAATTTCTAATTATAAGTTTGAAATCGCCAACCCGCATTGAGCAAGCGTGGTAATTAATGATCAAACCTTCTCCATGTGAGAAGACGCCTTTGGTCAGCAGTGGACACTTATAGGCTGTTGATGACGATGACCTAACCAACCGAAGCTCTAAAACCACATCAAAATTCACCCAAACCCTTGCTCCACAGCCTCAAAGCAGAGAACGTGCTCATCAAGGGAGGAGAATGGAAACTTGGAATCGATGAGGAGCCCCTCCCATTCCAGATCGTCCAGGTCAAGACCATTCTTCGCCACCCCCAGTACAAGGCCGGAAACTACGTCAATGACGCTGCCATTCTAGTCCTGTCTGAAAACCTGAGGCTAGCCAAGAACATCTGGCCTATATGCCTTCCATCATCCAAAGATACCCTGGACGCCTTCTACAATGGAGCTGGCGAATGTATTGTCACTGGATGGGGCAAATCCGTGTTACAAGGTAAGTGTTTTTGGCATTGTTGATGATTTTTTATTGATCAAATATGTACTTTACTTTTAAAACGGATTATTCTTTATTTATTTAAAACGAAAATAGAAGAATCACTCTATCCATTGGCAAGATTGCATCGAAATCCATTCAGGAGTTTTTGAGTTGTGTAGTAAACAGATATTAAAATAGGAGTTTCAAAATGATTTGCATATTTTTTAAACTTTGAAATTCATACATACGTATAGTATACATAACCTCAAGTCTGTCTCCCATAAGGATAGGCAGATACTATGGAACCCCAATTACTGTGATTCCTACATACCTATATCGCTTCATCAACAGTCATCAATCTTTCCATGCACGCTCGTCGGTAATTTGAAATACGTTCAAATTCAACACTTATTATTATGAATTCATAACATAATTAGCAAAACATGGTATAATATAAACCACTTACTTCTGCAAGTGGCTTCGGTCGCGTTCCCGCTGAATAAAAAGTAGCATATGTGGTATTCCCGGCCATAATCTAGCCCTGTTCCAGATTTTATCTCGATCCCTTCAGCCGTTTTGACTGAAAGGCAACAAACAAACAAACAGACAAATAAAACTTCGTATTTACAATGTTAGTAGGATTAGTAAACTTCAGCATAATAATTATTATGCTGAAGTTTAATTAAACAAAATACGTAATATTACGTTAAACCTATACGCATTTAACAAAACACCTCTGTAACACAAAACTAGTGACAATTGACCTATGAAACACTTAAAAACACAAAGTTCTAAAAACCCAAATTGTGTAAAGACAAACATTGGGACAAAACTATGTATCTATACGTAATCTTTTAACACCCAACATAAGATGACACTCATCTCAAAGTAATTTCCTACAAACTTGTTCTGAACTAAACAAAACTAGGGACCAATATAAAGTGGTCTATAACACTCGTTTACAAACTTAACTTTGCGGTTGTTTTCATCATTTTGCGTTGTAATTTCGACCTTATAGTTGTTTGAATGAGGGGTATAGTTTTGTCAGTAGACGGTAAATAGATTTCACATGCCATTTTGACATGGTTTCGTGACAATGAATTTATAATGTCGCAAGTATTACTATTTATATGACATATTCGGACTATTATTAGGAAATCTATTGATTTGAAATAAAACAAAGAAACATCTTGATAATCTATTCTTAATATTATAAAACTGAAGATTTTGTTTAAACGCGCCAATCTCCGGAACTGCTGTTTTGAATTTAATAAATCTTTTTGTGTCGAATAGACTATTCTATTTATCGATGGTTATAGGTTATAGGATGGGAATAGGTTGTTTATGGGACGACGTGCTCCATCGTATTATTCGCCATCGACCCTCACGACAGCGTATGCATCCCCATCATATATGTATGTAGATGGTTGGCAGGCCACAACTGTGCACTTCTCTCGTAGCTTCCTGCCTCGCACAGCAAAACTGTGGAATGATCTGTCGTCGGCGGTATTTCCGAACCGATACGACCTACAAACCTTCAAGAAAAGAGCGTATCCCTTTTTAAAAGGCCGGCAACGCACCTGTGACTCCTCTGGTGTTGCGGGCGTCCATGGGTGGCGCTGATCGCTTACCATCAGGTGATCCGTCTACTCGTTTGTCTCCTATTCCATAAAAAAAAAATCGTAGGCCGCATTATCGCTTACCACCAGGCGAGATAGGGGGCAAATGGCGGCGGATCAAATGTATAAAGAAATGCTACCGTTAATGGAAGCTGGTGAATTATGGAGCCGCGGAAGACTTAACGGGTTACCGGGGCTCCGGCTCGAAGTGCAGGAGTAGGAACGGGGTGGTTTTTAGTCAGTAAGAGTCTGACACTTCCCTCTCGCCTCACCCGGGTGGGAGAAGTCATTGGACTATTTTCCCCCCTCAAGATAAAAAAAGTAGCTGGTGAATCCTGGCGCGGTTATGTTAGGCGGTCCCAGTAGTTAGTATAATCATTATAAAGAGGAAATATTGTATGTTTGTTTGTATCGAATAAGCTCCGAAACTACTAGACCGATTTTAAAATTCTTTCACCATTCAGAGGGATTTTCTGGGAGTTTTTATGATAGTGTTCATGATTCATTCTCGGTTTGAACAATAATAATATATCTATTACTGATGTTTATCTAAATATTACGTCTGAAATCATACTCGGTATATGCTATGGCAATAGACTTTCAAAGTCGAAGTCAAAGCATTTATTTCAATTAAACCATAATTTAGCACTTTTGATACGTCAACAAATACAATATAAATAATAGTCTCTCAGTTAGTCCATCAGTGAAGCTAAGTGAAGCTAAGCTAAACTCATCCCCTATTACATGGGACTCATAACATAAATAGTGAAAAGTGGGTGTTACATTGTACAGTGGCATTAAGTGCCGTAAAGTGCACCTCTGCCTACCCCTTCGGAGATTATAACATAATGACATCACATATTATATTATTATATAATTTAAAAAAGAAATCTTTAACAGAATAATTGACTTCTAACCCCTGACGACATCTAAAAAAAAAACTAAAAATAATATTTGGAATCGACCAATCAGAATGCAGGATTTGTTTTCATTTTTCTAGGTCACGCTATTTTCAATTCATATAATTTAGTGTTTTTATTAATGATTCTGTTTGACCTAACCTGACCTTAGCGTTCTCAATGGTTGCGTGGACATGATTCCGGCTGCTAATCGTAACGCATATAGTTTGTTCCGGCCAGCAAAAGTAGTAGAGAAAACTAGTTTCGCACAGCGACTTCGCTCTCATTCCCAATAAAACAACAGATTGTAAAAAAAAACTAAATAGTAATTTAACTAAAACAACTTTAACTAAAAGAAAAGAGCGTATTCCTTTTCAAAGGGCTGGCAACGCATCTCTGACTCCTCTGGTGTTGCGGGTGTCCTTGGGCGCCGCTGATCGCTTACCATCAGGAGATCCGTCTGCTCTTTTGACTTCTATTCCATAAAAAAAAACAGTCAGGATCTTTTAAAAACTCAGTAGTACTTTGCCCGACCCGGGAATCGAATCCGAGACCCAGGCCCGACAGTCGCAATTGCGACTACTCGGCCCACGAGGCAGGCGGAGGCAGAAACTAGGATCCCATAAATAGGTCGGTTGCCCAGCCATCGCGCTAACTGTGACGTTGTGCATGATATTAGACCGGATCTAACACCTGGGATTCTAAAAACCTAGAATTGTTACCTAGGTATTAAGGTCAAGCTAAAGACGACTCGAACGTCAATATTGTTAAGTCTAAAATTATATAACTCATTTATAAGCCGCCAGAGAAGAATATATTTGTCACCATCGCCACTCGTTTCGTGAATGTCGTATACCCGACTGAAGGGATTTCACATTAACGTATTTATGTGGTGACGGCAGAATATAATACATTTGTCACCACCGCTAGTCTTCACGTGGGTGTCACATACCCGACTAAGACACTACACATTTGATAGAGACCGGGCAGCAGCGCTCTCTGATAAACCTGAACATTTTTAACAGACTTCCAAAAAAAGGTGATTCTCAGTTGTATCTGTATTGTGATTATCTAGCGATTTGCTGAACCGAATTTGATGTGGCTTTCAGGTAACAGTTAGTTTTTTTATAGCATAAGCCGGTAAACGAGCAGACGGATCACCTGATGGTAAGCAATCGGCGTCGCCCATGGACACCTGGAACATCAGAAGCGTTACAAGTGCGTTACCGGCCTTTTGGGGATTAGGAGTTTGAGGATCGTTGGGGATTCAGGGATTGGGGAGATTGGGGAAGGGGAAGGTAATTGGGCCTCCGATAACCTCACTCACACGACGAAACACAACGCAAGCGTTGCTTCACGTCGGTTTTCTGCTCGGTCGTGGTATCACTCCGGTCGAGCCGGCCCATTCGTGCCGAAGCATGACTCTCCCACACTTCGGAACAAGTTACACTTAGGAAATAGTATAGTACCTATATTAATTAACCGACTTCAAAAAAGAGGGGGTTGAATTAGATTTTTAAACATTGTTCATAAAATTATTATTAATGATCTATGATCTACCTGTTTGCCAAGCGTGGAGCTTCGACCCCGCGATACAATGGTTAGCAGCTCGTTTCCCAGTCACTGCGCAAACTGTTAAATAATTTAACTTAGATACAAATTACAAGTTACATCTTGTAAATGGCAATTAACAATTAAATATAATGTTAATTACAACAAAAGTTAATTATTTTACATCATTCTAATTATATCCGGGTTCGCTTTTTGTTTAGTTTCCTAGTAACATGAATATATTCTGTTGTACACACAGCCACACATCAATCTATACAAAACCAGTTTATCCTGGTGTCGCGTCGCATCATGTTTCCGCACATTTAACGTTCAGTTTATACTGGTTTGTAAAGCTCGATGGGTAGCCGTGTGTACGATACTGCATACATCAAAACAATGAAACATCATTTAGATTATGTACTTCATTATGACCCAAAAAATCTGATTACTTTGTAACATAACATCACGCCTTTTACCCCCGAAGGGAAACAGAGGTGCACATTACAGCACTTAATGCCACTGTACAATGTAACACCCACTTTTCGCTATTTATATTATTAGTCCCATGTAATAGGGGGTGAGTCTACTGCCTTATATCCTGACACAATTCTAGACTCCGTGCGACTACTGAGATTGTTTTTAAAACCCAGAATTACTTTGCTCGACCCGGGAATCGAACCCGAGTCCCCTTGCCTGGCAGTTGCACTTGCGACTACTCTGCCTAATACTACGGGGATAAAAGACGTGAAGTTATGTTATGTTTTGTTAAAAAGTTGAAAGTCTTAATCCAAGTTCAACGCTACTTTTAAGGTATTTTAAGCCAATAGAAAACTGTTCAAGGCAAATCTTCCGCTAACGTGTCACCGTGACCCCCACGGCGTTTACTTTTAATTTAACATTTTTTCAATTTAAACTACAATTGTCGGTACATTAACATTTAATTTTAAAC